TTTTTACATTTTTTTTAATATACACATATTACGTATTTATTTAAAATTTATTTGTACTTTTTTTTTTTTTTTAAAAAAATTAATATTTTCATTTATATAAAAATATTTATATATTCTCCTAAAGCACAGTCATTAATTTTTTTTTTTCTATAATTCATTAAATTTTTAATTTTTTTAAAATGATAATTATAATAGTTTTTTTTTTTTATATTTATTATTTAGTTTAATTTTTTTTTTTTTTTTACCACATAATTCTTTTAAATTAAAATAAATATATATTTAGTTAATATAATTATTAAATATATTATAAATATAATTTTAAATATTTATATATGATCTTTTTCTAAAATACAATTGTAAATTTTTTATATTTTATATATTTGTATAATTTTATTTTTATTTTGTATAATTCATTTTTTATGTTTTCAATATTAAAAGATAATTTAGATTAGTTTTTAAAATTTTTCAATTTTATTTCATATTAATTGATCTATTAAAAAAAAAAAAATATATGATAAAAAAAAAATTACTATTAATAAAAACTATACAGATTTATATTTTATATAGACAAATATTCTATAAAATATTGTTGTTTTCATAAAAAATAATTATGATTAAAATTTTAGTTTTACATTATAAATAATATTTTTTGTATATTTATTTGATAAATATTTAGAATACTATAATTTATTTTAATATTTGATTTTATTAGAAATATAAATATTTTAATAAATTTTGTTATAAATTTTAATATGTAAAATAAAATTTATTAATTAAAAAATAAAAACTATATATTAAAAAAACATATTCAAAAATAAATAACTTAATAATTAATATTTGATTAAATTAGTGAAAGAAATAGAGAAAAATTAAAATATATAATTTATATATATATATAAACTAATATATTTATATATATATATTTATTATAAATTTAAATAAAATAATATATATCTTTATATAATAAATATATCAAATTTAAATAAAAAAATAAATATTTAAGTTAAATAATTTTATAAAATAATTAAATATAATTTATATATAACTAAACAAAAATTTATTTTATATTAAATAATATTTTTAGTTATTTAAATTATAACGATAAAAAAAAATTGTAATTTTCATTTAGCATATTTTTATTAAAATGAAAAAAAAATATTATTTATCTTTAAAAAATATTATAATAATATATTTATATAAAATATTTTTGATACTTTATTCATTATATATATATTTATATTTATTTTATTATAATTATTATTTTTTTGGCGCTATCTAAAATTTTTTAAAAATTATTATCTAAAAAATAAATTAACTCAAATTTTTAATTTTTAAATGTAAAATAAAAATATATATCTAAAATATAATAATAATAATTAATTATCAAATATTGAGTATTTATTAACTATTTTTATATACGCAAAAAAAGCATTTTTCCTTAATAATATATAATATTAAAAAAATATTTTAAAAAAATGGAATAAATATATAAAATATTTAACGAAATATAACAATAATAATCCATCTCATAAAGTTACATTTATACATTATTAGAGTTATTTTTAAAAAGTAAGCTTTAATTCACTAAAGACTTAGAACAGTGTTATTTAAAAATAATAAAACACCTCTTAAAAGTTCCTAAAAAGACTCTTGAGAAATACGAAGCATTAACCGAGAAATTATTCGAAACATTAATTATATAATAATTAACAAACAATAAAAGGACATAATAACCAACTAAAATACCCAAAAAAGACATAGTAAATTTATTTTAGCATTTCTTGCATTTATTTTCTTAGGGATTTTCCTCATCTTAATTTTAAATCCGAATTTTCTGTTCGAGGTAAGCATTTTAAATCCTAAAAGTAATCCCTACTGAAAATATCGAAGAAATAATTAACAATAAGCTATCTCAAGAAATAGCTACTGCCACGTTAATTTTATTGAAAGAAAAGAGGTCTATATTGAAATAAATAGGAATAAAAATAGCTTCTTATTTATAAAAAATCGAACAAAACTAAAGCCTTAGGGAAGAAATGATAAGAAATATGATATCAGATGAGTAAGATTCGATAAGAAAACTGGCTTTAATAAACCTGGAAATGTCGGAAGAAACATTTCCAGAATTAATAAAAAGAATAAGAGATAAAAACAATGAAATCCGAAGTACTGTATTTAAAAAATTAATAAAGGAGAAAATTCCTTTGGCTAATCTAAATTTATCGGATATATATAAAATTATATATGATGGATTTGGATCTAGAGATGTTTAAGTAAGAGAAAGTTGTATTTAGTATTTGAATTAAAACTTTTTATTATTTAAAGAAGATATAGTAGATGAAAAAGAGGAAAGTTAAGAAAAAAAAGGTTTAGTTTATAAAATAAAGATAAAATTATTAAAAATACAAAAATTCATATTTTAAATTTCCTTAATATTTTCGAACTCCAAAATACACTTTTCTATCCTGAATTATATGAAAATATCTCCAATCTTTTAAAAGAGTCCATTCTAAAAATTATAGACACATAACATTTTTAAATTTACCTCTAAGATGTTTTTTTGAATTCTTTTTTTTCCAAAAAACCACCATCATCTTTATAATAATCTAAAAAAAATAATATAACTATTAATCCAGAAGAACTTTTCTTAATTAGAGTCCTTTGTGAAATGCTATATGAGTAAAAAAATTCTATCCCCCTTGAATTAATTTAAACTGTTGAAGATTATTTTCCTAATGGGATTTCTTTAGCTTAATCTATTGAATATTTTGCTTTTTAAAATCCGAATCTGCTCGCTTTATATTAAATTTTATTAATGAGCGAATTTTTGATAAATTGCGATTAGGCGGGTAGATTGGCATTAAGTGAGAGTATAAAAAAGCTACTCTTAAATATGAAAGGATCAAAAATTTTATAAGAAGTTCCTCAAATAGAAACCGCTAATGATGTATTTTATTAATGGGATATGAAAAATTTAAAGGAAGCGATTTTCGGATAGACTTATTATGATTTTCCTATTATTACTTGCTGTTATGAATTAATACCTCTATGTGTGAGGATTTTAAAAAAAAGTGTCCTTGATGTTCCTGTGAATGTTTTTATTACTTAAATAATATCTGAAGTACATGAACCTTTGGCTAAAGATTCAGATAATGATACTCATTTGGACTTACCTTCAGAATTAACTAGGGTATAAAAATAAATAATCGAAAATAATGTATAATTGGAAATTTTAGAATAGAAATTAAATAAAAGAGTGAAATAAAAAGATTAATATTAGATTGAAGTTGAAAAGGAATAGAAAAATAAAATATTGGAAAATTTAAGACAAAAAGAAAATGTTTTAAATGAATAAATTTTTGATATTTAAATGAAGGAAATAATTTTAGTTTAAAATCTACTTATTAATTGTATTATAGATACTAATGATCCTTCTATTAAAAATTTATTATAGCAAATTATTATACCGTCGTTAAAATAAAATAGTAATAATCTAAGATGCCATAGTTTAAAGGCTTTGGCACTTTATGTCCTTATAGATAGGAATTATTGTAATGATTTTTTCAATGTTTTTTTAGAATTCCTTTAAAAAAATGAAGATGAAGATAATTTATCGATTATTATTTCTTTAAGAAGTATTGTTGATTTTATATTACTTTACGATTTTGCGAAAAATCCTAGTCAATCCGATGATATTGATATTTCTTTGACTTAAGATTTGATACTTTAATAAGGTTTTTAAGCTAATTATTTTGTTAGAAATATCGCTATTGAGGGACTTTGTAAATTATTATTGAATAATAAATTATAAGATCCTTAGAATGTAAATTAATAATTATATATTTATATTTTTTAAAAAAAAAATTAGATTATTTGCTTATTAATTATTTTATGGTTTGATAATAGAAAAACATAAAAAGAAAGCTATAAATCAGTCTAAATATTAACTTTGTTTTTTAAAACATACACTAGTATGAACTATAGTAATTTATTAATTTTTGAAAAAGCCTTAGAATTATATATTGGATTAATAACTTAATTGAAATAAAAAGACTTAACTTTTGACTATAATAGTGTCCTAATAGACCATACTAATGAATTATTTATTACAAAATCAATAAGGGTTTGTATTAGTTTACTTTCTAAATAAAATGTGGAGGCTTAATTAATTTTATTTAGTTTTTTTTGTCAAAAAGCCTGTAAAAATAAAGATTTTGTTTCTTTGTTTGAAAAAATATGCTAATATTTTGATTTTTTTGAAAAAGGAGAAAAAAATGAAATTTTTAATGCTTTTTAACATTTAAATTTTGTTTTAGATAATATTCCACCGAGTAAAACTTTGAATTCTTTTTTGAAAGTTTTGAAGAATTCTTTAAAAAACGAATAATTTGAAGAAAATAATAATTTTTAAAAAAATTTAAACGATTAGAGTTTGTAAGAAGTTTAACTTATTATTAAATAATTGAAGGAATTTAATATTATAATCAAAGATACTGATGAATAAAAAAAACAAAGAGTATATAATAAATAATAAGATGATGATGAAAGTAAATGCGATGAAGAATAAAAAACTAATCTAGAAGAAAATTAAGATGAAGAAGAAAAAGAAGAAGACGAAGAAAATGAAATTTAAGAAGAAGAAGAAGAAGAAGAATAATAAGAAGAAGAAGATGATGAAGAAGAAGACAATTAAGATGAAGACGAAGAAGAAGAAAATTAAGATGAAGAAGAAAATTAAGAAGAAGAAGAAGAAGATGAAGAAGAAGAAAATTAAATTTAAGAAGAAGAAAGTCAAAGTGAAGAAGTATAATTTACTCCAAAAAAAAGAAAATAACCAAAAAGAAACACTACTCCTTAATAAAAAAAAAAACCAGAAAGTAAAAAAACCAATAATGTAAAAAATAGCGATGTTAAAAAGAATTAAAGTAGCTAAAAAAAAAGAAATAATAGTGATTAAAAAAACAGAAGTAATAGTTGCTAAAAAAATAGGAATAATAGCGTGTAAAAAATAGAAATAATAGTGGTTAAAAAACAGAAACAATAGTGTTTAAAAAATAGAAATAATAGTGTACAAAAAATAAGGAAAATAAAAAAAGAAAATAATATGAAGATTATTAATTAGGAAAGAGTTAAGACAAGATAATAAATTGTTGTGGAAAATACAAAATTATAAAAATAAGCGCTTAAAAGGAAAAATGAAAAAATAAAATAAAAAATATATATTATAAATTATATTTATTTATTTTATATTTTATTTTTTTGCTTTTAAAAAATATTAAAAATATATTTTTAATTATTTATTTTGAAAATATTTAAAAGCAAAAATTTTAAATATTTCAAAAAAAAAAAAAAAAATACATTTTATATATAAAAAAAATTATTTTTAAAATAAATATAATAATAAAAAATGAATAAAAGTTGAAATATTGCAAAAAAACTCGCTTTCAGGAAAAATAGCTAGAAAAATATTTTATTCTAATAAATCTAATATTTTCAATTCGAATAATAATAAAAAAGCAACTAGTTATATAAAACCTTAAAGTTAAAAATTAATCGCATATAATAGTAATTAAGATTAAGTTTAATAGGGTATTTCACCTGTTTTTTCTAAAAAAGATTAAATAAAAAAAGAAGATATAATAAATAGTATATATTATAAAGAATTGCAAGCTAAAAACCAGTAATTATAAGAATAATTAGAATAAAACATTTAGGTAAATATATTATATTTATATGTATTAAATATTTTGAATTTTATATAATATTATATAATAAATATTTTTAATTTTAAAATTATAATTATAATTATAATTATATTTCAACAATAATAAAAATAAAAATGTATTTTAAATAAAATAAAAGTTAATCAAATAAAATGAAATTAATAATAAATTTAAAGATTAATTAATTAAAAAATTAAAATTAGAAAAACAAAAGTTCATTTAATAAAATAACATTTTCAAAGAAAAAATTTATGAAATGAAAAAAATAATAAGAAATTTATAATAATAAAATTAATAATTATACTAAGTTACTTAAACAGAAGAAATATAAATAGGTAATATATGTATATATTTAATAAATATAAAAATAGTAAATATATATGTTTTTAATATTTTATATTTAATTAAAGATGTTGATGAATTTCGTTTATTATAAATATTATTTAATACAATTAGATAAAATTAAGATTAATAAGATACATAAAATTTACCATTAATAAATATCGACAATATGACTTATGAAGTAAATTATATTTAAAATTAAATTTATAAAAAAATAATAATATAGGAAATACTTGAATTATAAGAAATAGTAGGAACAGTTAATAAAGGATTATCAGATGAATAAATATAAAATATACCGAAAATATAATTTTAAAATTAACATAAAGATATATGTGAAAAATGCGCAATTTGTTTAAGCGAATTTGAGTATGAAGAATAAATTAATTAATTAAATTGTAAACATTTATATCATATTTAATGTATTTCAGATTGGTTACATAATGAGAACAATTGCCCCATTTGTAAAAATTAAGTTTATTATTGAGTAATTATAAATTTGAATTCGTTAAAAAGAAAAATTAATTAAAAATTAAAAAAATAAAATATAATATATAAATTAAAAATCATTAAATACATATCCAAAAATATATATGATTAAAAATATATATTAAAAATTAAAAAAATGATTGAAATTACATATATATATATAAATTAATTATTTCAAAAAAAAAATTAATATAAAATTTTAAAAATAATAAAATACAAAAAATATTTAAAAAAAGGATTAAATTAAATATATATGATATATTATTATAAAAAAATATTTTTTAAAAAAATATTAAAATATGATAAAAAAATTTTATATTATATAATTATATATATATATATATATATATATAAATATATATATATATATATATATATATATAACTATATTTAATTTTTATTTGTAGTTTTATATAATAAATATAAGTATATATTTTTTATATTAAAATATTAAGTTTTTTCTTATTTTAATTATATCATTTTTTATATTATTTTTTTCTCCATTTTTTTTTATATTTGAAATATTTTTTTAATCTATTGTATTTATAAAATAATACAAATCTGTACTTTTTTTCAAATTATATATTTTTATATCAATATTATATATTAAATTATATATTTATATATATATATATTTTTTTTTTTGTAAATTTTTCTATAAATTACAAAAAAAAATGAAAACAGAAAAATAAATTAAAAATATCTTCAACTATTCTTATTTTGAAAATAACTAATAAGATAATTAATAATTAAATTTTTAAAACAAAATTCATAAAATTTAAAAAAAACAATCCAGAAAATCATTAAACACATCCGAAATTTAAAAAGAAAATTCAATTATTAAAACTGACGGAAGTCCTTTAAAAAACACAAATTATTCTTGTTCAAGTGTATAATCAGTTTTATAAGAACTTCCACATAATAATTTCATTTCTACTTAAGAATCGTTAGAAAAGGACCAAAGTTACTATGTTGAATAAGCATCTAAATTATTATAAAATTGGTAACAACTTCCATTAGAAATACAATAAACAACAGTTTAATATTAAAATAATATCGAAAAAGTATAAGAATAATTCGATCTATTAATTCCTGAGATAAAAATAGCTTAAAATAAATAATAAGTTTTAAATAGATTAAAGGAAGCTTAAAAATAACAAGAATAAATTGTCAGATAAATTGCTTAAATAAATAACAAAACTACACTTTTGAATGCAATTTAAACAAAATTAAATATATAAAAAAATGAAGATGAAAACGATTAAATAAATTAATATTTTGTTGATGATGAAGAAATTGATTAAAAAGAAGAATCTATTTTTTAAATCAACAGTTTTAAGTATATTTTTTATAATATATAAATATAAAGTATTTGATTTTTTTATTATATCTAATTTTTTTTTTCTAATATTAATTAAATATAGATTATAATTTTTTACATATTTTTTTTTTTTTTTTTTTTAGAAATATAAATATAGAACATAGTTATAATTTTTATACTTAATCGAAATAATAAGAATATTAATTTTATGATTAATATGAGTTTGATTAAAATGATTCAAATATTTAAAGAAATGATTAAAATACTTAAATTGATGTTTTTTGTCTTTTAAATTAAAAATAAAATTAAAGTTTAATATGAAAATATATTATTATTTTTTTCCTAATTCATGAATGAAAATCATTAATCATTAAAATTTAAGATATTTTTATTTATTAAATTTTTTAAAATTTTTTTCATTTTTTTTTTATTTATTTTTTGTTTTTAATTATTTATATTTGTATTTTTTTTATTTTTTTTTTACATATTTAAAAAATAATTAATGAATATTATTTAAAAAATATAAATTTAGTATTTTTTTTTTTTTTAAATTTTTGTAAGATTTTTGATTGTTTATAGGATTTTTTTTTTATTTTTAATAATTTAATTATTTTACTTTTTTTCTTAAAATTTTTATTATTAAATAAAATAAAAATGAATATATCAATCAATGAAAGTAGTATATTAAGTGAAGAAATTAAAGGAAAACAAAATTTTACATAAAAAATAAAATTACCAGAATCATCATTATTAAAAAATAATATATTAAGGTTTTTTATTATATAAATAAAAATCTTTATATAAAAAATTATAATTAAAGTTTTATTCGTAAAATGCAAATATCTCATATAGATGACAATGAAATAGTTACTAAAACATAATAAAAAATAAAATAAATAGAAACTGAATTTTAATAACTACATAATGAAATCGATAATTAAATTATTTAAGAAAACTCTGAAGTGATAGAAAGAATAATAACTAAAGCCTTATATTAAAAGTATTTTTTTAAAAAAAAACTAAATTTATTAAAAAAAAAAAAAAGATTAATATAAGCATGTCGTATAAAATATGATAGAAAAATTGAATTTTATTGTCGAGTTTATGATTTTTTAACGCCAAAAAATTTTCAAATATAAAATGAATAAATTCAAGATGATATAAATTTTGTAAAAGCAAAATAATGTAAAAGAAATTTTTTTTTTTTTTGTAAATAATATTATTTTAGAAATATAAAATATTGACTTTTATTAAACACCTAGAGATAAACTAACATGTATAGTAAATGCATGTAAATTTATGAGCAGTATAATTTCGAATAGTAGCAAAAATAAACCAACTGGAGCAGATGATGTAATACCTGGTATGATGTATTTAATAATATAGAGTTTACCAGCAAGACCATTAACAAATTTATAATATATATAGTAGAATTATAAATATATATTTATAAATATATATATATATATATATATATATATATATATATATATATATATATATATATATATATATATGATTTTATTATTATTTATTTTATTTTATTTATATTCTTAAGTTTTTACTTATGTTTTTGTTTTATTTTAAAGATCTTTAAGAAATGATTAATATTTAAAAGACGAAGAATTTTATTTTACTATGTATGCTAGTAGTATTGAATTAATTGAAAATTTAAAAATTAATGATCTTGAGCATATTTCAGAAAAAGAATTTAATGATTCTTTTAGAAATAATTATAAAAAATATTAATCTTTTTTGGATGCTGTGGATATTGAGGAAGAATAAATTAAAAGATAGAATATTTTTAAATTAGTTCAAAAATTATAAACTGAAATGGGTAATTTTCATTCTAGTTTTGAAAATAATTAAATTAAATTCCATAATAAACCATTTTCTTAAATTTAATTGGGTGATATGTAAGAATTATATAATGAATATCATATTTTGCATAAAAATATTATTGACCATTAAATTGATTTGCAAAATTAAATTAATTTCTTAGATAAATATATTAATTAGGGAAATGTAAATAACTAAACTAAAAGATTTTTCGGTTTATTCTGAAATTATTTTTAATTAATTTTAAATATTTTTATTTTTTAAAAAAATTTATTTTACAAAAAATTTTTTTTAATAAAAAAAAAAAAAAAAAAAGTTTAAGATTTTTTGTTTTAAATAAATTAATTTATATTGTGTCAATATTATAATTATAAAAGAAAGAAAAAAATAGAATACATAAACTAAGTTAAAAGATAAATATTAATAAAAATATTATATTAAAAATTATATATTATAAATTATAAATATATTTATTAAATTAAATTTAATATTTAATAATTATTTAAAATTATAACATTTTTATATATAAAAAAAATGTTAATATAAAATATATAATTTATATATGATTATTAATATATAAAAAAATATATATTGTAATAAGAAATTAAAAACTATTATATATTAAATAAAATAAATTATATAAAATTAAAAATAAAAAAGTATTTATTATAAAAAAAAAGCATAAAAACAAAAACAAAGAAAATTAATATATTTAAGAATATGTATTAAAAATATAAAAAAGGAACTAAAAAAAATAAAAAATATGATATTTAAAAATCTTTAAAATTGAGTTAATATTTTAAAAGATAATAAAATATTATAACAAAAAATAATAATAAAATTAAAAAAATAAATATATTATAGAAAATTATTATATAAAATAAATTTTATTCAAAAAATATCTTAAAATTATTTATCAAATAAATAAATCAATATATAAAATAGAATATATATAAAGATAATAATAAAAAATATATAAATAAAATAATATAAGAAGGATTAAAAATAAATTATAAAATAAAAAGAAAATAAAATATAAAAGTAATATTAAAATAAAAAAAAAAATATATATTTAAATACAAAAATATATATAATTATTATCTTATAAATGTTATTATATATATTTTATTTTTATATAAAAATTATATATTTAAATATAATTATACTATATTTAATATATAAATATTTTCTAAATTAATTTTACTCACAATAATTATTTTTATAAAATGTTTTAAAAATTTATCAAATAATTGTAATTATTATTTATTTTTATCTTGATTTTTTGTTTTAAAAAAATTTTATTCTTATTTAATCATTAAGATTTAATATTAATTAATTTTACTATAGAATACGAAATCACGTATATTAATTTTATAATATGTTATAAATAAATTATAAATTAATATATAAATAATACTATAAAAATATAAATTATATTATAATAATTTAATTTACAATAATATATAAAGAGTTCTAATATTTTTTAAATGTTTTTAAAATATCATAAATATAACATTATAAATAAAATATAAAAACTTTAAATAAAATATTATAAGTAACTTGCATAAAAGTACATATATAATATTTAAACTAATACTTTATTTATTAAAATAAAATTTATAAATTTGACTAAATTATTATAATAATAAAAAGAATTTAAATATATATATTTTAAAATTTTAATATGTATTTTTTATTTGTTCGAATAGAATAATTACATTTTATAAAAGATGGAAAATAATAAAATAAAAAAATAAAAAAAAGATTTTTAAAAAAAGTATAAATATTTTGATAAATGTATTTTATAAAGAATAAATAAAAATATTTTATATTTATTTTAATATTTATTTAATTTAAATTAAGAATAAAATAATATATAAGCAATTTTTATTATTAAAGTACTAATTAAATAATATTTTATTTTATTTTTAGTTATTTTTTTTTATTTTTAAATTATAATATTAAATAAATAAAATTCATTTTTCTGACATTTTAATTAATTCATCCACAGATAATATTTCATTTCTTTTCTTTTCTTATGGAATATATTATTTTATTTATCTGAATTCTTACATTTTACTACTTTCTTGATATTAATTAACATCAAAATCTACTACTTTTTATTTAGTTTCCATATCTTAAAAAGCTCTTGCGGCTGTTACTTGGAATTTTAGTTTATGATTCAGCCAATTATTTTTACCCTGTTCATTATTTAATTATTTTTTAAATTCTTATAATCTTTTCATATAATTTCCTTCATGTTATTGATTTTTTTAATCTTATAAAAATCTTTATTTTCTTTATTCTAAACTTGAAAGTAATTTTTTATTTTCTTTAAGTTATTTTTGCTTTTTTTTTTTATAATTAAACAAAAAATATAAAAAAAAAAAATTACAAATTCTGATGAATTAGTTCCTATTTATTCTCTTTTTTATTTTAAATGTGTAATTTTAAGATTTTCATATTCATTTTTTTATTATTCTCTTATTTTTCTATATATTTATTTTATTATATTATTTAAAACAAAAAAATCAATTATTAGAAATAAAAATAAAGTTACTATACTTTTCTTCTTCATTTAAATATTAATCAGAATCAGTCGAATAATAAGATTGACTATCTTCACTATTAGACCCTGAGTGTTAATATTTATTATTATTATCCCAATAGATTTCTACTTTTCCAGTTTTTTTATTTCTTCTGGTTTTATAAGTGGTTAAATTTTGATTTTCTTAAGCAAGTTTAGTACCTATTTCTTTATTTTCTTAAATAAAAAGTTTTTTTAAATAACATCTTCTTTATATAATTAATTATTATTATTATCTACATTATCATATTCATCTTCATTATTATTTTCTACTTATTTAATCTTTTATTGAAGTTATTTTTTTTTAATTCTTCTTTTTTTTTTCTTAGAATTCATTTATATTAACGATTGGTTATTTACTTAATTTCTCATTTTGTACTATATCATGAATATTTGGAATCTTTTTTTTTCTTAAAATTATTCTTATTCCTAATCTTCTTCTTTTTCAAAATCTTCTTCTTCTTATTCTTCTTCTTAAAAAGACAATAGATTTTTTTTTTAAATTTAATTTTTTTTTATTTAAGTTATTTTTTCTTCTTTTTTATTATTTAAATTTTCTACTTCTTTATATATTTCTTCATCTTTTCTAACTGTAATATCCTAAAAAGGGTTCACAACAACTTTTGTTTTTATTATTTTAGGAGGATTAATTGGTCGGTCGTTTTTATCAGTTTATAATTCCTATAAATTCATTAAATTATATATTGAATTTCCTGTAACTTTACCAAATACGGTATTTTTCTTATCTAACCAACTACATTAGTCGAAAGTTATAAAAAATTAACTTCTATTCGAATTAGGCTTTCCTTCTTCGTTAACCATTCCTAGAATTCCTCTATGAGAAAATTTTAATCTTTAATGAAATTCATCTTAAAATGTACCACCATATATACTTTCACCACCTGTACCAGTATTTGTTGGGTCGCCACCTTATATTATAAATTTTGGTATTAATCTATGAAATATTGTATTATCATAATATCCTTCTAGACATAATTAAATGAAATTACGACATGTTTTTGGTGTTTCATTTGCCCATATTTCTATGTCAATATCTCCAATGGTTGTTATTAATATTACTTTTCCACTAGTTGGAGGTTGTTGTTGATAAATATTACTCATATTTTATTTTTTATTATATTTTAAAAAATGTATAATTTCTTTTAAGTGTGTATTATAAGATAAAATACTATAATAATTATTATTATTATTATTATTATTATTATTAATATTATTATTTCTTTATTATTATTATTATTAATATTATTATTATTAATATTATAATAATTATATTATAAATTTTTTTTTATTATTTTAAATTATTATAAATATATACTTAATTTAAATATTTTTCATTTATAATATTAAACATGTTTTTGTATTATTTTTATTTTAAATAATTTTATATTGTATTTTTTAAAATATAAAAATTTTTAATTTTAATAAGTAGATTTTAACTTATCAAAATTTATAAAATAATATTTTTTATATATTATTAAAAATTTAACTTTTTTTTAGTTTATTATAATATTTTATTTCTATTATATATATATTATTTTTATATAATTAGTAATTGTATTATTTAAAAAAAAATATTATTATAATAAAATAAAATTATGAGATTTAATTTTATATATTAGAATAAATATTTATATAGTTATAAAATTTAAAATAAAATATGTATATATATATATGTATATATATATATATATATATATATATATTTATATTTTTATATCTATACATTTGATAACAACTATTAAATAAAATTTTTTGAAATTAATATTTTTTTTATTAATTTATACTATTTTTTTATAAAAAAATTTATTAATTATCAATATAAGTATATAAATTTATTTTAAAATATAATTTAAGCATAAATATGTTTATTAATTCATTTATTATGATTTCTATAATAAAATTTTAATTAATATTTTAAAACTGCCATAAATTTACTAAATTTATATCGGATTTATAATCAACCTATATATTTTAAAATTATATTAAAATAAAATGTAATAAATTCATAAAATATAATTCTTTAAAATAATAAAAATAATTATAGATTTAATAACTCTAATATTTGTAAATTATTAATTTATAATTTTTAATTTTATTTTATGAATAATTAGAAATAATTTGAACTTTTAAAACAAAATTAAAAACCAAAAAAAATTTGAATCTCTTTTTGTTAAAATAATAACTATAATTTTTTAAAAGCAAATTATATTTATTTATTCTAATTAATCGTATTTATTCATTAAAAATTAATAGAATATTTCTTTAATTTATTTTTTTATAAAAAAGTTTTCGAATATTACAGATATATTAAAACTTTATTAAAAAAACTTAAAAAATGATATAAATTTTAAAAATAACTAAATTTCATTAATTATTACTTATTTTTTTTTCAAAAAATTTATTATTGTACTCAAATAAATGAATTTTATTTAAATATAAAATATTTAATTAAAATAAATTATATTAATGATAATAAATAAAATGAAATAATTTAAAATTTTTAGAAATATTAATATTCTTTTAATAAAAAATATTAAATTTCGTTAACTAAGATTCTTTTTCAATCTAAAAAAATAATAATTTTTTATATATAAGTATAGTAAAATTAATATAGAATTATTTTTGTTAAAAAAAATTATATGTTTATCTAATAAATACTTAAATAAATATAAGTATAGTTTAGATAATAAAATTTTATTTTAATAATTTTTATAGTTAATAAATATAATTTATACAAATTATAATAAATAACATTTAAATAAACAATAATATTTTTATAAATGAATAAATGTATAAAAAATGTTATCTTTAATTAGTAATAATATAGATATTAATTTAAAAAAATATTTCTTAATTTTGAATAATATTAATAAAGTTTCTAATTAAAATTTAAATAATATATTATTTTATTATTATAAACTTATTTAGCATTAATTTCCTAAAAGAAGATATTATATAATAAAGATATAAAAAAAAAGATTTTTATTTCCTCCAATTAATTAGATTACTAATTATTTTTATATATTTAATAATTTATATTGTTTTCGAATAATATAAATGAGTGTTTAGTTATTATTTTTACACTATATCTTATATATAATTTTTATTTTTACTTGTGAAACTTTATGTTTGTTTTAATTTTATTAAAAAAGTTTTTTCTTGAAAAAAATAATAATAATATTTAATTTATTATTAATAACAGAATAAAAAGAAAGTTTTATTTAAAATATAAATAATGTTTTTGTTAATAAAATATATATAATTATATTTTTATTTTTTTAAAAAAATAAAAAAATATGAACAAGCTAAAAAAATCAGAAATGTTTTAAAAATGTTTTAAATAATTTTATAAAAATAATATAAAATTTAAACAAATAAATTTAATTAATTATAAAAAAAAAGAAAATTCATAAATAATTTAATTACCAACCATATCTATTTTAAAAAAGAAAGAGTTATCAGAAAAAGAATTAAAAAGTAAAGAAAAACGGGAAGAATTTACTACAATAATGAACGGCAACGCCGAACCAGTATATGAATTAATTGAAGAGTTAAATTAATAATTAGAATAAAAAGATGATTTTGTAAATGAATATGATAGAAATGTAAAATATTTAAATAAGAAAGGAATATAAGAATAATTAAAAAAAAATTCTAATTTTATAATATTGAATAAGAAAACAATTGTTAAAAAATATTAAAATAACTACCGACAAGTTTTTATTATATATAAAGACAAAAAATAAGGGAAAATATATAATTAAAGACATAATTATAATTTTTTAATCCTCATTTATTTGCTAAAAATAAAATAAAAAGATAAAAAAAAGATATTGATTATTTACAATTATTAGCAAAAAGAAAAGATAACATATAGTATGAAAAACCTAAAATTGTTCAAAATTTAAATTTAAAATAAATTGAAAAAAATATTAAATTATTACTTGAGGAATTTACATCAAAGGATAATTCGAAAAAACTTAATAAAATACTTGAAATTTAAAAAAGTATTTATAATGATTAGGATTTAGAATAAATTGAAGAAATAAGTAATATTTTTTTATTATTTTATTTTTTCTATTTTTTTTTTGGGAAGGAAAACAAAATCAAAAATTCTTTTATTGAATTTAAACTAAAAAATTAAATAAAAAACAAAATCTTTTTTTTTTATTTTATACCTTAAATAAAAATAATATTTATTCATATTTTTTATTGTTAAATTATATAAATTTACCTTAAATAAAAATAGAAAAACTAAAAAACTAAAATTTCTCAATTTATATCATTTTTTATAAAAAATATAAAATATTTATTTTTTATAATATTAGATTAAATTTAATAATAATTAATTATAAAATAAAATACTAAAAAAAAAAATTAATTTTAAATTTTAGATTCATTTTTTTCTTTGATTTAAGAGGAAAAAAAAAAAGACAAAAACAAAATAATATATGATGTTTTCAACAATAACCTTATTTAAAAAATAAAAAATATATTTATATTTTATAATTGATATCATTATTATTATTATAAATCTTTTTTTTTTTGTTAAATTTAAAGTTTTAATGATTAAACTTCTTCTCTAAGTTATTCTTAATATTCTTAGTTTGTTTATAAAGCTCTATTCCATGCTCTTCTTGTGATTGGGGAATATTCAAGATGATCTTCTAATGATTTACTTTAATTAATATTATTTTTATTTAAAACAATAAAAAATACCTATTTACTAATTCTTTTACACTATCTAATTTAATTTAAGTTGTTAAACTAAGAAAAGGTACTGCACACATTACTGCTGACCAATAAATTCTTGGAGCTCCTATTTTAGTTGCATGACGTCTTCCTAAATATGAAGTAAAGAAAATGAATAAACTTACTGATTAATCTTTTTTTTTTAGATTAAAATTTTTCTTCTATATTTTTTTTTATTTTGCTTTTTTCATTTTACATTGTTTAGAATAAGGATTTAAAAAATCCGATAATTTCTGAGGTTAATATGGTCTAAATCCTCTATTTTTTAAATGCTAAATATGCTCTTCAGATATATTTGGGAAACCTTATTACATTAAATAATATATTATATTTTTATTTAATTATATTTTTAATTTAATATTAATATTTTTTTTATTTTTTAATGATTTAAAATATAAAAAAATGTTTAAATTTATTATTATAAATATAATTTTTTCCTTTATATGAAATTTATTTTTTATTATTGATTTTTCTATAAATCATTTTTTAGATTTAAAGAAAATATGTCAAAAATGATAAATCTTTTAAGTCAAACTTTCAAATAATATAAAAAATAAAAATATCAAATTAATTATGAGTTTTATATTATATATTTTTAAATTAGTATAATATAAAAACTAAAATTTTATGTAACTTAAAAAGTTTTTTAATTTTATTATTAAATTTAATAATAAAACTATTTTTTAAAAATAAAAAAAAAAAAAATATATATAAAAAGTAAATATTGATATAATGTCTTTAAGAACAGATGATATAGAGGGTGCAAGACCTAAATAAATAGGAAAAAGAAAAATTCTTTAATAAATATAATAATAAAAATAATTATAATAATAATAACAATAATAATAATAATAATAATAATAATAATAATAATAATTATAATAAGAATATGAATAAGAATAAGAATAAGAATAAGAATAAGAATAGTAATAATAAAAATAAAAATATTTATAATAATTAAAATTGCAATAATAATAATAATAATTATTATAATAACAGTAATATTAATATTAATAATAATAATAAAAATTATAATAATAAAATTCATAATAATATTAATAAAATAATATTGATAAATTTAATGTTCCACAAAATTAAATTAGAAATCCTGAACATTTTGCACAATCTCCTTATTAAGTAAATATAATTATATTAAATTTTAAATTATAATATATTTAACACAATTAAAAAATATTAATAAAACATATTTTAAAATTAGCCAATAAAATAAAGAAATCAATAATTTAATATAATTAGTAATAAAGATTTTTAAGTACACTAAATTTTATAAAATTAATAAAATAATTAATATTAATATAATTAATAATAAAAATAAGAATAATAGAATTATTAATAATAACCTTAAAACTTTGAATAGTAAAATTTAATCTAATAATAAGATATATTAACCTAACAATTAAAATTACAAGAAGAAGAAAAAGCAAGAGCATAATCTCAAAGACTTATACAATAATAGAATTATTAAAAAGAACTTTAAAATTAATAAACACCAAAAAGTCCTTTAAATTAAGAATTATAATAAAATATAAAAGCAGAATAATAAAAAATTTAATAATAACAATAATATTAATAAGATTAAAATTAATAACCTAAAGTAAATTAAAATCCTATATAATAAAATAGTATTTTAAAAATGATGACTGAAAAATAATATCAAGACTATTTAATGTTATAGGAATAATAAAAGTTTAAACAATTGGAATTAAATAAAAAAATTTAAAAATAAAATATATAAAATAATATATTCTATTAAAATGAACAACAAAAATCCCCATTAATTTAATAAATTAATTCAAAAACTCCTTAAATTTACAAACCTCCAAATGAAAATTAAAAAACTCCTTTAATTTAATAATAATAATAGCAATAATAGTAATATTTACCATAGATTTAAAATGAAAATATTAGTTAATAAATATTAGATTAGTAATAACAATCAAGAACTGTATCTAGATAATAAATAGTTGCAAGAGAAATATTAAGTCCATATTTATAATAACAATAATAATTATAATAGTAATAAAATTAATTATAATAATAACAATAATAATTATAACCTTAATAAAATTATTAAAAATAAGAATAAATTTAAAATTAAATATCTAATGTATATCAACCAAAATAAAATTAATTAAGTGAATAATAAAAAACTTAAAATATATTTATAGTTATGGATAGTGATAATTAAACAAGACAATTAGTGAATGAATTTTTAAATTCTAAAGGAGTTTTAGATTATTAAACTTTTGTTTTGCCTGGAAGTGCTGCTGGATTTATTAATGATTAAGGATGGAGAGATACTTTCTTTAGTTGTTTTAGTTTTATGAGAAGGTAATATGATTTTACTGATCTTATCATATTTTCTAAAGTTGATAACAATATGTTATTATTATGGAATTAAGATTAAAGCATAGAACCTTAATTATTATGTATTGATAGCTTAAAATAAAGTGCTTAAATTATAAGCGAAAATATTAGTAAAGAAGTAAATATATCAACATTTTTAATTGATTCTTTAGGCAAAATGCATTAAATTTGATTATTATAAAATATTTTTTTTATTCTTTTTGTTTTTCCTTTATTTTGTTTTTTATTTTTTGTTAAAAAAAAAAAAATTACATTATATAATTTTAATTATTTTTTTTTATTTTTTAAATAAAACTATATTTTATTTTTCATTTATTTATAGATGGTATTAAACTTAATAGTTTTGTTTTTTTAAACCTTTTATTAATTTGTTTAATTTTAGTGAACTAGTAATTCTTTTACCCCATTTTTATTCATATTATTTTTTCAAAATATTAATATTTGAATTTATAAAATTATTTTATGAAATTTATTTATTAGTTTTAATGTTTAAATGTTCTTTTAATTATTAGTTAAATGGTTCTTATTTTAATTATTATTATATAATTTATTATTTACTATCATTTTTTTAAAAAGAAGATATACTGCGAACTACATTGTTTTTATTTGAAAAACTTACTTTTTTTATACAAAGATTTTAATTTTATAATTATTGACTTTCAATTTCTTATAATTAATTTGAACTAAAAAAATTATTTAAAGAGGGAATTGAGGCCTAATTTGACACCAAATTAGTGTTTAAATTATCTTAATCAAATGTATAATTTTATAACGAATTAAAGTTATATTAAGATTTAACGTTCTATTATTTATTTTTAAAATTAGAAACAATTTCTTAAACTTATTATTTTATATTTATTTAATTATAAATAGTTTTTTTTGACTATTCGTTAAAATATTAATTTTATTTTTTGTTATCATTTTATTTACAACTATTACTTCTGGCTGATAAATGAGTTGAAAAATCGTGAGTTGAATTATATTTAGAATTTTTTTTTATTGATGAATATTTCTATTAATGTTAACTTAATAAATTTTTAAAAAGCTCATTTGATTAAGTCAATTAAATTGAGCTGTTTTAATTAATTAATTATAAAAAATATTATTTGCGTTATTATTTATGTTAATCATTTGTAAATAAATTAGGTTTTATTAGAAAATCTTTAAATTTTGAATCTTTTTAAATATTTAATAATTCATCTTATTATATTTAAGGATTTATATTTACATTTTAAATGCAATTCAAAGATAGTTAAGAATTTTTTTATTGTAAATTTATTTATAATAATTTTTTTTTTCTTTAAAAAAAAAGTTAGTATTTATGTTTACCATTAATTTAAAAATCATTATATATTTTAAAATATTTAATTATCTTAATAAGTTTCTAATTTAATAAAATTTTTTATTAATATATTAATTTTAAAAATAATATAATTAAAAATAAAAAATAAAAAATAAATAATATATATATATATATATATATATATATATTTAATATTTTTATTTTTATTTTTTATTTTATATTTTTTTTTATAAATATCATTTTTTATAACGTTTTATTTTTTTTACAGATTTTTTTTTAAATTTTTTTTAATTATAAATTTCTATTCTATATCAAATTTTTTTATTTATGTTTTTTTTTTTTAATTACATTAATAATAAAATATTTATATATATTGTAATTGTTCATTTATATATATATATATATATATATATATAGTTATTTACATTTCCTTCTATTTTAAATATTTCAGATGTTAAACTATTACATATAGCTGAAAATTATCTTTAATTTAAATTTTCACATAATTCCTCGTCTCCAAAATAATTTCTTTCTCCTAGTATTACAAGATCTAATTAATGTAAATTATTTTGGTATTAATTTTATAAACTATCAACATTATTATTTTTATTTTATTCTTCGTTTTATATAACTAGTTTTACTTCTCCTTTTCTTATAAAATATATAAACTATGTTTAATCTTTTTCTTTATAAATGACATTATTTTTCTCAAAATTTTATATTTGCATTATTTCAAATAATTCAGCAAGCATAGTTTTCGAAAATCCTTAAAAAATATCAAATAGACCTAAAAAGTCTAACCTTTTTTTATGTTCTATTTATTATTAAAGATTTAAAAGTTTGTTATAATTATATGATGATAATGTTAATAGTTCGCATTCTTAAGATGAACATACTAAAATATAATCTCTATTTTATATTTTATTAGAATATATATATAAATAATATATAATATATATTTTTTAGTATTTATAATTACAATTTTTTATTATGTTTATTTTAAAATTCATGACCAAATATATCACCTATATCATAATTTTTGACGCTCTCTAATTTTTCTGGACAAAAACACTTTTTGACTTTTCCTTTTTAATTTTTTTTTTTTAAATATAAAAAAAAATTATTTAACCTTTTAATATTATATATATTGTATTTGCTTAATCCCCAATATTATAAATAATTTAGTTTTATTTAAATGAGGTGTATCCAACGCATTAAGCTAGTTTTTGTATTTATTATAGTAAGTAAGTATTTTATTCTATAAATTATATATTTTCCAATGCTTTTTATAAATACTTTTATTCAATTTTATTTCTATTTTTTTTCTTTGCTATACTAATAACCATCTTTTTTTATTATATTAATTTATTAAAAATATTTTTATTATTATAAGTAATTAACAATTTAATCTTCTTCATTTTATAATGAAATTTGTTTTTTTTTCAAAGCTTTTAACATTTAATTTTCTTTTTATATACATTCAATTATTAAATTATTTAATTTTTCATCTTTTAAAAATTCTATCGCTATTTTTCCTATTAATAGTTTATGGATGTTTGTCATTTTTGTCTCTTTCATGTATTTTTTGTTTTAGTTTTTGTTTTTGTTTTTTTTATAAAAATAATTAATTTTGGTATAAATTATTTATTTTTGATTAATATTAAATTATTGGCAAAAATATATTTTCCATAATTAAAATTAAAATTGATTTAACTTACATATTTGATGAAATATATAATATTAAAATTAAAATAAAAATAGTTTTTAATTATATATTTAATTTTTTTATCTTTTATATATATAAAAAATAAAAAAAAAGTTGAAATATATTAAATAAATTAAAAATAAATTAATTTATGAAAAAAATTATAAACAAAAAATAATAATATTCGCATTTAATAAAAATAAAGTAAATATATTACTTTAAAATAATCAAATCATAATATTAAATAATTATTTATTAATCAAAATTAAATTTGTGGAAATAAAAAATAAAATAATATAAGTATCATAATTTATCCTATTTTTATTAATCTTCTATTTAAAGATTTTATTTCCAACATTAAACTACATTTTTAATTAACATACTAACAGTTATAGGTCCAACACCTCCTGGAACTAAATTTATTAATTTAGCCTTTTAAGATACCTTTTTTAAAAAATTTAATAAAATATAATTATTTATAATACTTTATTAAATTCCACATCTCCAACAACTCTCCTTTTATCGATTTTTCTAATTCCTTTATTACATCCAGCATCAATAACAATAACTCCTTCTTTAACAAAATCTCCTTAAATCAAATTTCTAACACCAGCCGCACTAATAATAATATCAGCCTTAAAAACTTAAATATATACATACTTTTCTAAAAAAAAAAAAATTACATCTTTAACTGATTCCTGAATATTATTATGGATATCACAGAATTTTACAAAGGCACCTTTTTAAAGTAATAAAAAAGATAAAGGAATTCCTACTAGAATACTTTTTCCAACTAAAGTAATATTTTTATGTTTTAAATCTACATTATGAACTTCAAAAATATGCATTATTGCATGTGCTGTACATGGAAGTTATTTATTATGTTTTTAATCGAAAGTTATTTATTAAAAATTTATACTTTTTTATAAACAATCAACATCTTTAATAGGATTTATACTATCTATAACCTATTGCTTTATTATATGACTTGGTATTGGAAATTAAGTTAGAATGGAATCTATATTTGGATTTTCATTATAATCTTTTAGTTTTTCTAAATATTGTTCTTTTGTAACATTTTTTGGAAAGTGACATAGTTCTTCTTCCACTCCTACTTTTTTGCATGCTTTTCGTTTAATTCTTATATATGAGAGGCTTCCTGGACTATCTCCAACTAATATTATGGCTAGTTTTGGGGGTCTAATATTATTTTCTTTTTTTTTTTATTAATGGAAATTTTTAATGTTTATATTTATTTACTTTTTATTTAATATTTTATATCCTTTTTTTAATTTTTTAATATATTTGAAGCTATTTTTAAACCATTTATTACGTTTTATTGTTAATAAACTAATTTAATAAAATCTTTTATTTTCATAATTTATTTTTTGTATTTATATTTTATTATATATATTATTATTATTATATTTATATATATAATATACTTATTATTATATATTTTTTTATTAAAATTACTTTTTTATTAAAAATAAAAAAAAATATATATTTATGTTTTTATTTTAAAATAAACAAATAATTAGCCAAATTTAGAACAAGTTAAATTTTTTTTATTTAAATAATATAAATTATCTTATATAATAAATATATAATTAATTAAATATTTGTTTAAGAAAAATATATAAAATAAAAAAAATATAAAAAAATAAAAGAATAAAAATAATATTATATATCCGTAAGCATCGATGGTTTGATTTATCAACTTTATTTGTGTTGATTAAAATTCAGACAGATGCTAAAATTGAAGTCATAATAAACAGAAGAAAGGAAATTCAAAAAAAATTATTTCTTTTCGTTTAACTTGAAACAATTAAATATAAAATTAAAAAAAAATAGGAAATTATAAAAGAAAGAAAAAATTTAAGAAAATAAATTGTATATAAAAAATTATAAAATATATATCTACAAATATAAAATAAAAAAAAGAGAAAATGTTCGAAAATAATATATTAAAATATTAATATATTATTTAAAAATAATTTTTTTCAAATAATTAATTGAAAAAAATTAATATTTAAAATAAAAATTATATAAAAAGAATTTATAATATATATATATAAATATATATATAATTAAATATATAATTATATTATATATAATTTATATAAATATAATATTTATATTATTATAAAATAATATCTAAAAAAATAATTTAAAATATAATAATATAATATAAAATATTAAATATATTATTATAGAATAATTTGTAATTAAATTTTTTAATATTTTCATAAATCATTTATTAATTAAACCAATTAAAACCATTACTAATTTTTCTTTTTTAAAACTAAAATATGTGGAGTCCATGCCAATAAAATCACTAAAAAGCAAAAAAATAATAAAAAAGTAAATGTGTAAATATTATTAATTGTATTATTTATATTAAACAAAATCTAATTATTTAAATTTTAAATAATTTATTAAAAATTCTTATATATAAAGCAATCTAAAACTTAAAAAAGTTAATTTTAAGTTGAAAAATTTTAATCTTCTTAAAAATTTTAATTAATTTTCTAAACAATCGATTCTATAAATATATCACAATTATAATTATTTTTTTCTATTTATTTAAAATTATTATATTAATTTTCATTTAAACAAGACGTACATGTAAAATTAAACTTTTATCTATTAATTTTATTAAAAAAGATTGTTTATTATAAAATTTCTCCTTTTTTTAAATCAAAATAAGTTCCTTCTTGAGGGTTTTAGATTTTTAAAAAAGATGCAATTTCAAATTCCTAAACAACTAATTATAAATTTTTAATTTTTTTTATATTTTTAATTATTTCATCAGTTTTAACATCGTTTAAATTTCTAATTTAATAAAGAAAAAGAAAAATAATAAACATAATAAACATTAAATGAAATAAAATCGAAACTTTAAAGCATTATCTTAATTTTTTGTTTGTATTTTATTCAACTAAATATTTATAAAGTTCTTTTATTTTAGATACAAAAGTAAATTAAACAAATACAATCGATACTATAGATAAAAGTATTATGAAATTGCAAGCTATAAATAATATTTCGTTAAAGTTTTTATTTTAAAAACTTTCATTGAATTTTATATTATCGTTTTTTTTATGTTTTCTATTAATTAGCTTAAAATTGATAACTTATTTATACTTTTTTCTAATATTTTTTAATTTAATTCATTTTCTTCTTAAATTTATTAATTAAAATTATCAAGCTAAGTTTTATATAATTGCTATTCACTTTAAATTTCTACATTTTATATTAATTAATATGCTTTTTAAATCTAATTTTCTACCTATTTTTTTGTTTATTTAATTTTTTATTGCTTTTTTTGTTTTTACTATTTATTTTTATTCATTATCTTGTTTTTTATTTTAATTTAATTCTATTAGGTTACAATATTTATTAAATTCGTAATTTAAACTACTTACTTATAGTAATAAATCTGTTAGTTTTTAACTTTATGTATATTATTTATTTGAATTTACTGATAATTAATATAATGTCAATGATATTATAATATGACCAAATAAAATTATTATTAAGGCAATAAACTATACTTTTTTATTCATTTTGTTTGTTTTTTTTTTTTTTTATAATTAAATTTAAATAAAAATAAAAAATAATATGTATTAGTATTTATAAATAAAATATTAACATAAATTTACAAAAATGATATAAATATTATTATTATTTTTATATAAAATAACTATAATGGAAATAAAAAACAATTAATTTCTAAACACAAATTATATTATATTTGAAAAACAAAAAAAAAAAATCATTAATATCCTTCATTTTTAAAATTACGTTTCATTATATTAAATTTAACATTAATTTCTCCAATATGTTTAGTTTTTAATACTTTTTTAAAATAAAAATTATTAACAAAAAAATAAAACTAAAAAAGTTACTATTTCTTCCTTAAGCATCGCCAATAGTTTTTTTAACATCATTCATTTTTACTTCTTGAGTAGTAAAATAACTAAAAAATTACGATATTGAGTTAGTTGCAAGTGTTTTATAGATTCTAATAGTTCTTTCATGAGTCCCTGACTATGATGGTATATGAGTACTTCCATAACCTCTAATTTCGGACAAACCAAAAAAATTATACCCGTAAATTTAAACTATTAATTAAGGCCAACCAAAAGGGGATTCTAATTCGAAATTTCCTTCAAAAGGTAAATTAAATATTATTTCTTTATTATATGAACCAAATGATTATGAAAATTAAGATTTTCCTTCTAAAATATGCTTTTTATTAGAAAAAAATAAAAATAAAATTAATATGATCTTTAAATAAATATTTATTTATTTTATATTTACCAAGTTACCAATTGGTTTAAAATTAGATCCATATGATATTTCATATTAACACATTAATGTATTTTCACCATCAAACTAAATAATTTTTATTTTTTATAATTTATTTTAATATTATTTTATAAATATTTGTTTACTTCTCCACTTTCTATTAATCCTTTTATATATAAAGTTGGTTTTTTTTATAAATCCTTTTATTGGTTTTATATAGACGAAGGTTTTAAAATTGATTGAACTTATTATATATTCATTTTAATTTTATTTTGGTAATGAAACTTTAATATTTTATATATAATAATAAATTTAAAATTAAATAATTAGTATTTTTTTAAAATAATATGTTTAAATATATTTTAAAAAAATTTTATATATATTTTTATTATATTAAAAAATATTAATGTATAATTATTTTTTTAAAACAAGCATTTTTAAATAAATCATAATTAAAAAATTTTACTCATTGTTTTTTTACACAGATTAATTTAATAAATAATAATCAAATGTTTTTTATCAATTTTTATCCAATAATAATATTTAAACATTAATTATATTAAATATAATTATATATATATATAAAGGTATTTTTTTTTAATTCATTAATTCCATATTCTGCATTACTATATTTGTTAAAAAAAAATTGGAAAGTATATTATATATATTATTACATTTTGGGAATTTTCATTTTATATTAAAACAAAGTTTTCAAAAACTTTCTTAAATTCAGTATTTATGATATTATCAAAAATCATATGATCTTCTCTAAAATTTTTGATTAAAACATTTACTCTTATTAAGAGTTTATTTATTTCAATATTTAATTTATTAATTTCTTCCTACAAAAAATATTATAAAAAAAATTATTTTAATATTTGCTAATTTCTTGAATATTTCATTTACATTATTTTCGATTTGATTTAATTAATTTAATTTAATATATATCTGATTTCTTAAATTACTTCTTTCATTTATAATTTCTAAGCAATTATCATAATATTTTAAAATTTCCTTATATGTATTAATATATATATATATATATATATATATATATATATATATATATATATATATTTGAATTATAATATTCAAACTAATTTTTAATATTTATTTATTTTACTTTTAAAGGCTCTATTATTTATAAAATTATAAAGCTTAAATTAGCCTTTTAAAATTCAGTAGATTTAATTAATTAACTATAAAATTTTTCGACTTTTTTATCATTTTTAGCTTTTTTTTTAAAAAATAATGATTTTTAAGTAATATTATATATAATAATTATATTAATTTTTTATAAATACTAAAACTATGAAAAGAAATAGAAATCTGTTCAAAATTGAGTGCTTATTTAAGTTTAAACTCATAAGTACTTTTAAGCTAGTTGAATATCCTTTAAGTTTATTATTTTTGAATTAAATATCCTTTTTAATATTCTAAAAACTCTTAACCTTCTTGAGAAAAATCATCAATTTAATTATCAATTTGTTTTTAAAGATTATAGAATTTTAATAAATAGGGAATTACATTAATTATTTTATTTAAAAATCCTTTTTTTTAATTTATTTATTGATTTTTATTTTAATTATTCATTTTTAACTAGAATTTCTTTGTATATATTATTTTTATATAATCAAAAAAATTTAATAAATTAAATACTTTGCTTTATTAAGTTATGAATTATTTAAATTATTCGCAATATTTAAGTTTGGGATGTTCATAAAATTTATTTAAAAAAAAATTTAAAGAAGTAATTCTTTGGCTTAAGAAATTCTTATTATTTTCAGTATTTATTTTATCAAATTTAGTAAATATATTCTTTTCTGGAAGACTTGGTAAAATAAAACCCGGATAAGCTGATTTTACACTTTAATATAAGCTTTCGAAATCTGTGTATCTCCTTTAAACTTTATGAATTAATTAATTTTCATTTTCATATTTTTAAAAAACTTTTATTATATATATTTGTAAATCTAATATTAGCCTATATTTATATATTTTTTAAATTATATTATGTTTATACCATTCGGATTTTTGATCATATTCATCTACAAATATTTCTAAATTATCAAAATCCATGTCTTATTGGATTTATTCGGCTTCGTAAATTTCATTTTCATCAAAATATGTAATTTATTCAATATCATCTTCAATATTGATGTTATAGTTTTAATCGCCAATTAAATCAATATTTGGCATATATTGAATATTTTAACTTAAATAGGAATATTATTATTTTTCTTCCATTTGATTTTTTTTAATTATTATTTATATTACAAAGTTTTTTTTTTTTTTTTTAAGAATATATTAATTTTCTATTATTATGATTTAATATTTTTTTTTTTTAATTTAAGACGATTATAATACATTTTAATATTATTATTTTTTTTATATAAGAATGATAATATACATTTAGTTTATTCAAAAAAAAATAAAAAATATCCATCATTATATTTATTTAAACAAAAATAATAGAAACTTTATTATTATATAAAAAAAATTAATATTTATAAATAGAATATATATGATGTTTTAAAATCAAAGAATATTATAAAAAGAATTTTTAAATAAGAAAAAATTAAATTATAAAAACTATTATTTTTTCATAAAAAAATAATATAATAATAATTTTAATTGCATTATATATATCATTATCCTATAATTTTTTTTTTTCTATTAATATAAATATTTTAATAATAAAAAAGCTAACTTTATATTCTTAGTTATTTTATAAAAATATATAAATAAAAAAATATTAATTTTAATCTATTTTTTAAACAAAAGGAAAATTTATTAAATATTAAAACTTTAAAGCAAAAAATATAATAAATAATAAAGATGTAAAAACTGAAAAATTTATTAATAGAAAGAAATCATGAAGAAGTTGAAAAAACCAAGACTTTATCAGAACTTAATCGTTAAGAGTACATAAAACTCTTATGGTAATTAATAAACCCAACTTTATCAATAGCGATTGGGGTAGTTTTAAATGTTTTTTTTTAATCAATAAGTTTACATTTTGCTGGAAATCTACCTAATCCAAATATATTAAATGGTATAGGATTATCTAACACAATGTTAAATATAACCGGTGTAGTTTTTTTGCTTGGCTTAAATTAAGGTTTTGGTTCATTATCAGCTCGTGCTTTTAGTGCTGGGAAATATGATTTAATGTATAATTATTTATCTAAGAGTATTTTAACAATTTTCCTCGTATCTTTTTTTTTATTTTTTATCTCTTTTTTTTAGAAAAGAATATTAATAACACTTCATTAGGATTCTGAAATATCTTTTTTTGCACGAGAATATAGTATTTAGATATTTTTTGGTCTAGTTTGTTATTTTTTATTTGATTGTTTCAAAAACTACCTTAATTCTTTAGGATTATTTAATGAACCAATGTATATTTAATTATTTTCTCTTGCTTTTTAGTGGATTTTGTGTAATATATTTGTAAATTCTTTAAAAATGGGATTAAGGGGAATTACACTAGCAACGAATATAAGTTATTTTGTTTCTTTAATATTGATTTTGTTTTTTATAAAATATAAGAATATATAAATGTAAATTCTTTATGATAAAAAAAGTATTTTTAAAAATTATTTTAAATATATAAAGTATGTAGCTATTATAGCTTTTCCTATATAAATAGAGCGAATAGGGTTCGAAATAAATACTTTCCTAATAGGTTCTTTGAAAATAAGTCATTTTTTTTCAGCACATATTATATTATGTAATATAAATTTCACTTGCTATTCTTTCTATTTAGGATTAGGGGGTGCGCTTATTATTTTAACTTCAAATGCTATAGGAGAAAATAATTATAAAAAAGTTTTAAATTTTCTTAATTTGGGATATTAATTGGGTACTTTTATGGGTTGTATATTCCTTTTTACAATCATAAAGTTTAATTCTTAAATAATATCTTTTTATACTAACGACTCATTAATAGCAGAGCCTTTAAAAACTTTGTGTAAAATATATTACTCTTTATTAGTTATTGATATGGCTTAATGTTCTTAATAGGGTGTTTTAAAAGGTATTGGGAAAGGAAATGTGATTTTCTTCTTTTTTGTACTTTGTTATTTAGTTATAGGTTTACCATTGTCTTGTTTTTTAGGATTTTATAAAGGCTTGTAATTAAATGGATTTTGGATAGCTTTCTGCTTTTCGTTTTTATGTATTTTAATTTGCTAAAGTGTGATTTTATATAGAACTGAAATGAAGTAGTAAATTTAAGAATAACATGATTATATTAATCAGGATTAGAATTTATTAATCGAATCATAACCATAGATTGAATTATAAACTATTAATTGATTTTATTTATATTATTAATATATATATACATTTATAATATTGCTATTATATTATTTCATTTAGCATTATACATTATATTTAAACTATAATATTTATTTTTTAAACATTTAATTTTAATTAAATTTTGATTATTTTTATAATATTTAAAATTTTTTTTAATTAATTATTAAAAATAAAAAAAAAAACATAATTCTCAATCTAAATCGTTTAAATCTTCTTTTTATTAAAAAATTTCTTGAACTTTGTAAACTTTCTCTACTTCTTAATTTTATTAATAACTATTCTTTTAATTTAAAACTTCTTCAATATTTAAATTTTTTTAATCTAAATTAACTTGCTAATTAGATTCACATTAATTTGTTATATTTTCTTTATTATTGTTTTATTTTTCTTAACTAATCTTTTTACATTAAAATTTGTGATCTTTCCAATGAATAACCTTAATATTATAAAAAAAATATATATGTTTGTATATATATATATAAATATATATATTTATATATATATATATATATATAATTAAAATTATTTACTTAACATTCTCTTGTACAATACCAAACACTTTTACATGCAGAACATCTTTTAGTAGCATCTTTTTACATTGCTCACATTTAAAGCCTTCTAAGAGTCCCTCGACAATATTTTATCCGTAAAGATCAGCTAGTCTTTTCATGTCTTCTTTAGCTTATTCTATATCATAAATGAAGTATTATTATTTTTATTTTTCAGCAATATCCTTCCAGTTTTTTCCTTTTGATATTTTTTCTCTTATTTCCGGAATTTACTAAACAATAAATGGATTATTTTAAGCTATAGATTAGACTTGTATTATAGATAATTCTTCTAATGATCTTAACATATGAGATAAATTAGGAATTTAATCCATGAGAATTTCATTCATATATTTTCTTAACTAATATTAATATAATTTTATTAAAAAATAAAATATACTAATATATTACTCTTAATAAATTAGATTTTCTAAATTCATTTAATTCATATTTTTTTCTACAATCTGCGCTCATAAATAAATTATAAATAGCAATCCATACATTAGCTTCTATTTTTATAATTTTACTATATTCATTTTTTTCAACAATAACCCACTTACTATTTTCATATTTTTCCCTTTCATCATTATGATTTTGCCTTAACCAAGGCTTATTTTCTATCAAAGGTACAAATACGCATAAAATGTCAGTAACTTCAAGTAGATGATGTAGAGTTCCTATGGGTAAATACTAAACATAATCAGTAATAAATCTAATAATAGAAATACACATCATTCCTATTTTGAATTCAATATCTTCGATTTATTCATTGAATTCTTATTCTCGAGTTTTTGCGAGCATTTCTTCAACGGATTTTTTTGTAATTTTCTTCTTTTAATAATTCGCTAAATTTAAAAGTTTTCTATAACAATAATCTATTAGTTCAACCAAATATTCTTCAGCAGAATCTATGGCAGTTCTATGATACATAACTACTTCTAATAAATTACAAATTACTGATTCGTGGTATATTGCAATATAATTTCTGTATGTGTTTGTTATTAATAAATGATTTTTTATTAAAGGAAGAACTTTTTATTTCCATAATTCAGTTTAGACTAAATCAAATATTAATATTTTTAATTTATCGAATGTTACCATTGTATCCATTATAAATTCGTCGCTTTTCATTAATGCATTAACATGTGCTTGCATATTTAATCTTTAGTATATTTCGTCTTATTTAAACCATCTTTTTTTATTTTTATTTTAATAGTATATATATATTTTTTGTATAATGTAAAATTACTCATTGCTACCATATTCTTCTATATTAATTATTCTTAATTTTTCTATTAAATGTTCAGCTTCGAAATTTGATAATACATCTCCAAAATGTAAATCTTAATATTACATTTAAATTTATATAAGAATTTTTTATTTATATAGGTGTTATTAATATATTTAAATATATTTTTTTTAAATTTAATTAAAAAAAAATTATTTTATTTTTATGAAAAAAAAAATTTATATGTATTAAAAAAGATAAATATACAACTAGTTTCAATTTTTATATAGATAATCACAAATAATTATACATAAAAAAAAATATATAAAAAAAAAATAGTAAAAAAATATTAATAAATATAAAAAAAAAAATTAAAAAAAATTATAAAAAATTAATAAATAATAATATTTTATGTAATTATATAAAAATATATATATAAATATATAAATATATAATTTTATAAATATAATATAAATATTTATATTTATATATAAATAAATATATATATATATATTTATATCTTTGTATATCTTAATGTATTTTTTTTTTAATTCTTTAATTTTTTTTTTTTAGATAACATAATAACACAAAAATATAAATCTAAAAGTTATAATATTTTTTGTAAAAATAATAAAAAAACAAAATCAACAATTATACAAATAGATTTAAAAATTATATCGAAATAAACATATTTATTTTATAATAAAAATAAATATATATTTGTATTTATTTTATATTTTTAAAAATAAATAATTTTTTATAATATTTATATCTATTAGTATAATTAATTTATTAATCTTATATATCATTAATTATTAATATATTTTTCAAATTAAAATGTTTTTTTAATAATATATATATTTTTTTTATATATATTTTTATTATTTTGTATTTTTATCTTTTTATGTCTTTTTAGGTGTGACTTATATATATGAAGTGTGTTTAGTATATTTTTTGAATTAAATTAATAAAATATATCTTTTTCATTTAAAAAATAAAAATCATTAATTTTTATATTGAGTACAAAAAAATTAATTATAATAAAAATTAGTTATTTTTTTCTTTAATGTTAATTTAAGCAAGATAGACAGAATTTTTAGTTTTATACTTAAAATGTGATTATTTATTATTTTATATAAAATAATTCTATTAGTATTAACATATTAAAGAGTATATTAGTGCCTTTAAAAAAGTTAAAACTATTTTTCTTTTTTTATAATTATGTTTAAGAATTTTTGACTATAATATAATATATTAAAGATATATATAATCATTTTTTTTATATTACTCTTTTTTATTTAAAAATCAATTTTTTTTTACTATGTTAATTATTAATTAAATATGATATATTTTATAAAATATATAAAAAATATTAATATATATTTTATAAATAATTTTTAATAATTAATATGCAAATTTTAATAAATAAATATTTTCTTTATATAATTAAATTTCAAATTAAAATAATTATTTGATTTTTTTAAAATTATTTATAATAAATAGTTTAACAATTATATTTTATTTATATATAAACTATAATAAGCATTAGTTATATATATGTAAATGTTATTTATATAAAATAAATTAAAATATTTTAGTAAATTTTGTAATTTTATTATTATATAAATTTTATGTTTTTTTAAATCTAAAATTTTCACATAAAAAAAACAAATAATGAATAATAAATTAATAATAAATTTTTCCTTTATTATCATTCCAATTTTTTTTTACTATCCTTTTTACATTAGTTGATCTTAAAAGGATAGAATTAAAAAATAATAATAATAATAAAAATATAATGATAATAATAATAATAATAATATAAAATTTTTATTTTTTTATTTTTTTATTCCACATCTGGATAATAAAAAAATATTATTTTAAATTTATTCTTTTAAAAAAATATAGAGAACTCAGTTATTTTCTATTAATTTAAAAAAAAAAAAATCAAATAAATAAATTTATATATAAAATTACCATTTTTGTTATTATTTTCATTAATTTAATTTAATTGAGTTTCATTTAAAAACTTGGATTCACTAAAAGCCTATGTCATATTTCCCATAAATGCGAAATTATTTTATCGTAAGGTAAGAGTACTGTTTTCACTTGAATATTAATTCATAAAGCATTTACTAAAATCTTCAAAATTAATTTCAGAATTCAAATTTTTTTCACCAGCTAAATCATAAAAGATACATTAAAAAACATTTTCTTAAAGCATAATATTTTCTCTAATAAGTGTATTTTTAATGCTTTAATAATTAACATATCCTTTATTATCAATATCTATGTAATTAAATAGCAATTTGCACGTATTAATATCTTAGAGAAATTTTAAATCTTATGTACTTTCAATAAATTAGGAATATTCAATTATATTATCTTCTTTGATTTATTTAAATAGATAGCAATTAGATAAATTTTTAATAATTTAAGTTATTTATGAATAATTTTCGCATTATATGTGTTAATTAATACTTTCAAAAAATGAATTTATAGTAATAACTCCATATTAATCTTAATCAATAAATCTTATTTTATTTTTTTTAAATAAAAAAATAATAAAATATGTTTACTTAAATATTTTTGTAATAGTATTAATATGATTTTAATTTTGGTTAATTTTATTATTAATATGAATACAAAATCTTTAGAAATTATTTAATTTTTCAACATAATTTTTCAAATTATTAATATACTAAAGTTATATATATCTTCTTTCTGTAATTTAGTTATTTCTAATCATTCTAAACCATTAATGTTTTAAAGCTTAGGATATATTAATTCGTTTTTTTACATCTACACATATCATTTTTCCTATCAAATCTTTCATTTACTTAGAAATTTTTAAATCTTTCTTAAAAGAATATTCTCCTTTTTATATTTTCTCGAAAATTTCGTTTTAGTTTTTACCGTTAAAAGGAAATTCGCCACATAAAATTATATATATAATTATACCGAGACTCCATATATCACATTTAATGTCGTATTTTCCTAATAAAACTTCAGGAGCAATATAATTTACACTTCCAACAGTTGTCTATAAACCTTCATTTTTATCATAATTATTGTTTTTTGCAAAATATTATTTTGATAAACCGAAATCTATCATCTTGATTTCATTTGAGGATGAGCTAAAAATAAAATTTTCTGGCTTCAAATCTCTGTGAACAATTCCTAATTAATGTAAATATTTTACAGATAAAAATATTTAATAAATTATCTAAACGGATTCTTTTTCACTTAATTTGCCTTTTTCCATTATTTTGTGTAAAAGCAAATCACCTTTAATTAACTATATTTATAAAATATAAATAAAGAATTATATTATATACTATTATATACCTCTATAACTAAATATAAACGATTACCATTTAAAAAAACTTCATGAAGTTTAGCTATATTAGGATGATCTAATTATTATTAAATATGAATTTCTCTTTATATTTGTATTAATTATTATTAGTTAAGTTTGTTTATTTTAATTTGCTTTAAAGCAAAAAATTATTTAGAATTAGATATTAAACAAGCTTTTTTAACAACACCAAATGTACCTTTTCCTTGTTTATATATAAATATATATATATATATATATATATATATATATATATATATATTTATATATATATTTAAATATATAATATATATTTACTACATAAATAATTTTTTTTTATATATTTATTTATTTTATATTTTTTTATTATTTTATTTATTATTTTCTACTTTATTTAGTTATTTTTACCTAGTATTTTTCCTTATATTCTATAGATTTTATTTATGTCTTCTGTACATGCGTTTATCATTACCTCTTTATTATTTATACTATTGTATAAATCTATTTTCTTTTTATAAAATATTGATGAATTTTTCTCAGAATTTTGTTATTAACTTTTTTGAGAAGGGCTAAATAAGTTTTATGTATTAAAATTATTCTTTTCTATTTCTTAAATACTTGATTATTTACTCTTACTTTTAGTTATACAGCTTTAGCCCATATTATATGTTTATTTTAATTTTTTTGGTTTTATATATATTTAATTATTTAATAATTAATTATTATTTTTTTTATTTTTATTTTTATTATTTTTAAAATGACTGAGTTTATTCAATAATAGAAAAATAAGAATTATATATATTTTTTTTAAGGATTTATATTAAAATATTTTTAATAAATTTCAAATATTAAATAGTTTTTACTATTCTTTATAAAAATGTTTTAAGAATTCAACTCATTTTTTATTTTTTTTCTATTAAAATAATATAATAATTTACAAAAATAGAAAATTCTATAATATATTCTTTTATCAATTTTTTTCTCTTCAAAAACAAAAAATATTTATTTATTATAAAATTTTACATACTTTATATATTATTTAATCTTGATATAGTATATAATATAATTTATAAATTAATAAATCTAAATATTATATATATATATATATTCATTTTTTTAAACTTTTGAATAGTATTTATTTTTTATTTATGTAATTTTTAATTATATTTAATAAATTAAGAAGAATAATTAAATATAATATATTTTTATTTTATTTTATATATTTGTTTATTTAATATATATTAATTTCTAGCATTTTTTAATTTAATATCTTTAATTAATTATAGTATTTGTAAATTATTTTAATTTTTTTTTATATAAACTAATAAATTTATATTTATTATAATAATTTTTTCTAAATTATTTTAATAATTTATTTATTTTTTATATAATATTTTATTTAATTATATAAACTTATATTTTTTTTAAATAAAATATTTAATATCAACATTTAATAAAAAATATTTAATATCAAAATTTATTAAAAAAATTAGTTAAAAACATTAAAAAGATAATAATATAATTAAAATTAATTTATTTCAAATTAATTCTTTTCTAATATATTATTTTAATAATATATTTTTAACTTTTTTAAATAATTTAGTTTTTAATAATTTCTAAATATATAAAAAAAATAAGTAATTTAGAATGAACAATACCAAAAGAAAACAATTATTTAAAATAATTATATTAGGTGATTCTGGGTAACATAAACTTATAAAAAAATAACAAAATAAACTAAATTAAATATAAAAATAAAAATAGAGTAGGAAAAACATCTTTAATGAACTAGTATATATTAATTTCCAATATAAATAATAATATTTATATTATTTAAAAAAATAAAATAATATATATATAAAAAAGATATGTAAATGCTCGCTTTACTTAATAATATAGAGCTACAGTAGGAGCCGATTTTATGGCGAAAGAAGTTATGATAGATGATCGTATGGTTACTTTGCAAGTTATAAAAAAAAAAAAAAAAACTAAAAAATTTTAATAATAAAAAAAAATTAAAAGATTTGGGATACTGCAGGATAAGAAAGATTTTAATCATTAGGAGGTGCTTTTTATAGAGGAGCAGATTGTTGTGTTCTTGTTTATGATATTACAAATAAGAAAGTATTAGCATTTTTTTTTTTTTAAATATAAATAAAAAAAAAAATCATATAGTTTTTTTTTTATTAATTTGTTTTAATCTAAAATTTATTTATTTTATTAATATTTTTTTAAATATACATAAACATAATAATATTTTAATATAATTCCTCATAATAAATAGAGCTTTGAAAGTTTAGAAAGTTGGAAAGAAGAATTTAAATAATAAGGTTAACCAAAAGATCCTGATAATTTCCCTTTTGTTGTTTTAGGAAATAAATGTGATAGAGCTTCTGAAAGAAAGGTTGAATCAGATTTCGCTTCATAATGGTGTAAATCACATGGAGATCTTTTAAATTTTGAAACCTCTGCTAAAGAAGATACTAATGTAAATTAAGCTTTTACTGCAATAGCTAAAGCAGCTGCATCTTAATCATAAGAAGAGGAGATGTAAATATTATTTTTTAATATTATTATTTATTTTATATATTAAAAAAAGATTCTTTCCAACTAATAATGTTGTTTTAAAATAAGATTAAAAATCAAATAGAAAAAAAGTTGATTCTTGTAGTTGTTGAAAGAAAAATTATATATTTTAAATTTTTAATATATTTCTTTATAGTTATTATATTTTTAATATTAATTGTAAATTTTATTTTATGTTTTATATTTTATATTAATTTTTAAGATTAATTATTTATAAATAAATATAGAAGAAAATATTAAAAAAAAAAAATTTATCAAAAAAAATGCGATTTTTTTTTTTTTAATTAAATTATGTATTAAAAAAAAAAAAAAAAAAAAAAAATATAAATAAAATATATAAATATATATATATACATACATATTAAATATTTTAATATATTATAAATATAAAATCTTTAAATATAAATATAAAAAAAAATGATTTCCATATTTTTTTAATTATATTTTAATCTTAAAATATTATATATATAAACATTAATAAAAAACATAAATAAAAAGATATATAAATTTAATTAAACTTTAAAATTATAAAATATTTCAAAAAATATTAATAAATAATAATTTTAATAAATTAAAATAATAATCATAAAAAATATAATATAAATTAAACTAAAATAAAAAATAAAATAATAATATAAAATTAAGAAATATAGTAAAAATATATAAATAAAATATTAATATTTATAAAATAAAAATATGATAATAATAATTATAATAATAATAATAATAATAATAATAATAATAATAATAATAATAATAATAAAAAAAAAAAAAAAAATGATAATAATAATAATAATTATAATAATTGAAATAATTATTGTAAATATAATTATAATTTTATATATATTAAAAATTATATAGATATTATTTAATTTTATAAATAATATTTAAAAAACTTAAAATTTTCTAAAAATTAATTAATATTTATAATTATTTATTTTATATATATTTTTTTTATTAATATATTAATACTATTTTTTTTTTTAAATATATTTTTATTTATATATATCTATTAATTTTTATATAATAATTTTTTTTTTTTTCTTATATTTTATAAAAATTTGATTAGAATTATATTTATTATTTTTGCTAATATATTATCATATAAATCAATTTTTTCTTAAAAAATAATGATCTATAATAATTGTATATATATATATTTAATAATGGAAAATATTTTTATTTTTTTCACATATTTATTTAAAATTAGATATATAAATATAAAAAATAAAGTTATATTAATATTTTATTTAAACTATTATTTTATATATATTTTTTTTAGATTAAATGATGAATTTATTTTTCTATATATATTTTAATTTGTTTATTATTTAAAAAATTTAAAATTCAGTCGTAGAAT